AGCCAGCTTTCCCCCAGGGAGACACGACTAATTCAGGTTTCTTTTTTTTTTTTTTTTTCAGTCATGGGGCTTGAACTCTGCACCTGGGCACTGTCCCTCAGCTACCGCGCCACTTATGGCTTTTTCTGTTTATATGGTGCTGAGGAATCAAACCCAGGGTCTCATGCATGCAAGGCAAGCACTCTACCCCTGAGCCACCTTCCCAGCCCCTAACTCAGGTTTCTAGGCAACTTATCATCATACTTTTGTGACCTCAGAGAGCTTTAGCATCCATGAAACACATAGCACAGCTGCCTTTAAGTCAGCACTGTTTGGGGCACAATCCTTTTCCAAGGAACTTGTATGGGACCTAAGCCCAAGAATGACAGGAGGAAACCAGTGTCTATACCCCTAGCATATGAAAAGCACTGTGGCTAGGCGCCATGGCTCATGCTTGTAATTCTAGCTACTCAGGAAGCTAAAATCTCAGGTTCATGATCTGAAGTCAGCCTGGGCAAAAATGTCTGTGAGACTGTTACCTCTTATTTTTTTTTGCGGGGGCGGGGTCCAGTTGTGAGGCCCAAACTTTGGGCCTGGGCGCTGTCCCTCAGCTCTTCAGCTCAAGGCTAGCACTCTACCACTTGAGCCACAGCTCCACTTCCGGCTTTTTTCTTTTTGCTTATGTGGTGCTGAGGAATTGAACCCAGGGCCTCAGGCATGCAAGGCAAGCGCTCTACCACTGAGCCACCTTCCCAGCCCTGTTACCGCTTATTAACCACCAAAATGCTGGAAATAAAGTTGTGGCTCCAGTGGTAGAGCAGCAACTGGCTCACACAAAAAAAGCACTGAAGTTCATCTCTGCTTTCCTGTAATTAAAGTGGTTTTACGCACTGAAAAAAAAAAATCACCCTTATTTTTCATTCACTTGAAAGAGCTGAGATCTGAGGATCATGGTCCAAAGCCAGCCTGAGCAGCTCTAATTAACCACCAGAACAGGAACTGTGGTTCAAGTGGTAGAGCAGCAGCCTTGAGGAAAAAAAAAATACTAAGGGACAGCACCCATGCCCTCAGTTCAAGCCCCAGTACTAGTACAAAAAAAAATTAAAGTTTTTTTTTAATCCATTGTAGCTTTAAGTTTTGGACTTTCATCCAGCCAAATAATTCAGAGCTCTAGCATGGCTCACCCCTTTCAGACTGGTTGCCAGTTGCTGGTCCTCACAGTTCCCTGCCCTCTAGCAGACTGTTACCCTGCTACACTGCTACCTCTCATTAGAGAGCTGCTGAAATGACCCTCCTCTCCTTCTGAGTAAATGCAAATTATTCTGAAGAAAAAAATCAAGCTATGTCACTTCATGGGGGGGTGGGGGTTGCTTGCTTGCTTATTTGTTTGTTTGTTGTTCTTTCTTTTGCTGTTTTTCTGTCAAGGTCTCACTAGGTAGCCCATGCTGGTAATACTGGTATGTGCCACTACATGTAACTTAAGGATTTGGGGTGTGGATGTGTGCTAGTTTTGGGGTTTAAACTCAATACCTCACATAGCTAGCTAGCATTCTACCACTTAAGCCATGCCCAGCATTTTGATGGGTAATTGGAGGTGGAATCTCACAGACCTCTCTGCCCAGGATGGATTTGAATCACAGTCCTCTAGATTTCAGTCTCCTGAGTAAGATTACAAACATGAGCCACCACTGTCCAACTGTTTTGTTTTGTGTTTGGTTTTGTTTTTAATTCAAATGTTTATTATAGCTAAGTGTAGTGGCTCAAATCTGCAATCCTAGCTACTTGGCAGATAGAGATCAGGGGATGAAAGTTCAAGGCCAGCCTTGGCAAAAAGTACTCAAGATGCCATTTCAACCAGCAGCAGAGAATGGTGGCATATGTCTGTTCCTAGCTGCAGGGAAGCACAATGGCTTGCAGAGGTGGTGCATGTCTGCATCCTAGCTACATTGGGAAGCAAAAGCAGAAGAACCACCATCCAGGGCAAAAGTTAGACCAAATCTCAAAAAATAACCAATGCAGCTAGGTGACAGTAGCTCATACCTTTAATCCTAGCTACTCAGAAGGCTGAGAGCTAGAAGACTGATTCAAAGCCAGCACAGGCAGAAAAGACTCTAAGACTCTAATTAACCAGCAAAATGCTAGACTGGAGGCATAGCTCAAAGGGTAGAGTGCCAGCCATGAACAAGAAAATCTCGGCAAGAGCTCAAGACCCTGAATTCAAGCCCTGGTACCAGCTTAGGAAAAAAAAAAAATTAGCCTGGAGCCAATGGCTCACACCTGTAGTCCTAGCTACTTGGGAGGGTGAGATCTGAGGATCAAAGTTCAAAGTCAGCCTGGGCAGGAAAGGCCATGAAACTCTTATCTTCAATTAACCACCAAAAAACTAGAAGTGGTACTGTGGCTCAAAGTGGGAGAGCACTAGACTTGAACAAAAAAGTGCAGGCAGGGACAGTGCCTAGGCCCTGAGTTCAAGCCCCATGACTGACACAAAAAAAATGCAAAAAGGACTGAAGGCTTGGCTCAGGATAGTAGGGCCTGTCTAGCAAGTAAGAAATCCTGAGTTCAAATCTCCATACCACCAAAAATAAATTTAAAATAAATTTGTTTTATTTTTTTAATATGTATACTATGCACAGTAGTACTTTCATATACTCTGAGCACTTGTGAAGCGGTCTCAGAAAAAAAAATTAAACATTTCTTTTAAATTTAGATTTTTTTAATTTACTAACAGTTACATATATTAGTGGAATACAATATAATGTTTTGTTACTTCTATCCATTGTAGAATGTTTTATCAAGCTAATTAGCATATTTATCACCTCATTTTTTGGGGGGGGTCCGGTCATGGGGCCTGAACTCTGGGCCTGGGCACTGTCCCTCAGCTCTTCAGCTCAAGGCTAGTGCTCTACCACTTGAGCCACAGTACCACTTTTGGCTTTTTTCTTTTTGCTTATGTGGTGCTGAGGAATCGAACCTAGGGCCTCATGCATGCAAGGCAAGCACTCTACCACTGAGCCACCTTCC